GACGGTGAGGTGCAAACTGTGTCCAGGCCAGAAGCTGTTATCCACTGCTGTAAACACCACGTGGTCAAACCTCAACAAGCACGTGCAAAGAACACATGCTAAGGTGAAGCTACCGCACAGCTATTTGTTGTTTGTTTATATCACGTTGTCTGTTCTTCTTCTCTGTCTTCCGGTTGTTGTGTGTTTTGAATGACAAATACACACTACCGCCGCCTGCTGGTAAGGAGAGTTATTGCCACTCACGCATGCGCAGTTCGTACGTGCTCGGCGAGTAAAGTAACGAGTTACTTTATGTAGATAGTAACGAAGTAGTGTAATATATCGGCAAAATATTTACAATAGCACATGTTTCAATGCTGATTGCTGAAATGTTACATTTATAATTTGCTGAATTTCTGCTGAGTTTCCTTTGCCTCATTTTTAATGTTGTGACCTGTCTGGTTTAAATGAGTGTGTTGCTGCTTTGATGAAGCCTAATTTGATAAAGTTTCAAATTAATTTCTGAAATATTTCGTTAATAAATATTTCATGAGTAATATAGTTGTCTTTGTCACATTTTATTTGGCATTACTAAATAATTATGCACATTTACAGATATTTTACATGATATGAGTGATAACACGTGTTATAAGGGCTATTTTGCACAATAGGTGTGCCTTGAGATTTTTACTTGTCCTTTGGTGTGCCTTGGGCACAAAAAGTTTGGGAACCACTGCTGTAGATTGTGGGGAGCTCACTTACCTCAACCTGATACACAATGGGACATTGCACATTGATCAACAATGACAGAGACTAGACACAAATCACAGATAATCACTTGGAGTATAATTAAACCATCAATCACTTTTAATATGAGCTTTCAATTTACCTTGCCATTTGAGGAGAGAAGTTGATGGGCTCTCCCTTCCACGACCAGCACTGCCATTTCTGTTCTTTCCAGCCTTGAAGCTGCCTGTTGATCACTCCATACACGCAGCAGGAGCTGGCAGAGTTGCTGTTTGTTGTCATCATTTGTGAGAAACATTTTGAAGTCATATGGCTTCCTGGTTGCTGGTCCAGCCAAAATGATCTTCTCTGAACTGCCACGTCTCAAGCTCTCCTGTGCTTTGATAGATCCTGGATGGTAACTGTCAGTTGAGAACAAAAAGTGCTTTTTGGCCACCATCTGATCAAGCACTTGTAGGCATATCTCCCCACAGGTTGGAGGAAGGTTGGTGAGGACATGGAGCAGAGCCATGCCATCCTGAATGAACAGGGCATCCTTAGGGTATGGCAGATCCTTTGGGGTGGTGTCCGCCAGAATGTAAAGAAAGGGTCCAATCATAACCACATGACGGACAAATGTATCTGGCCAACACCAGATGATGGGTAGGGCTTTCATACAGACACCAAGATCAAATGTATTCAGGACCCACCTCTGATCCACCTGATCAGTGGCTAGCTCAGAACGCTTCAGTAGCTCACAAACAACTGTATTGTCAGTGATTGGTTGATGGATGGGCGTGAAGTAGTCCACTGTTGATTTTCTGAGTGGAGGAGTACCAGTTGCAGAGGTGAAGCCCCCTAGTCCAGGCACAGGCTGCTGTCCATTGCTTCCGATGTACCTGATAAAGAGCCAGATGTAGTACACTTGCATCTCAGTTGCATAGACTGTCATTCTCTGCTGGCGGTGTGAATGATGAGCCATCATTAAACTTTGGGTCGGCGCGAGTGAAGTGCAAGGGTGGGAGTGTTTCTGGTGTGTTGACTTTCAGGCTACGCTGTTGCGACTTGTCGATGACGGGTAGCATTCGGACCATGTTGCTCTCAAACCCAGGCTTGACCACCTGGACCATGATTCCCCCAGCACTGTTGACAATGTTGCTGCCGTGCACACTGGGCGTGGTTTTATTCAAATTGTCCCACTCACAGTGGAATACCATGTTTCCCTCTCCTATCACAATTGCGGGTGTCCGATAGGATGAGACTTTGTCCAGGACCTTTGCCAGGGCAGTTTCCAACTCCAAACCAAATCCGTAGCTCTCAGAGTGGCCAAGCCTGTGTAATATTGTGGTGAGCTGCTTGCTTCTGAACAAGTGCCTGACAGTCACACAGAGTATAATGTGTTTTGGTAACTTCCATTCTCCCTCTGACACTGCACGGCACAGTTCTTGCCCAATGGAGAATACCAGGCGCTTCATCTTTTCATTCGTCTCCATGTCTTCCTTGCCAGCCATGACCATGCTGAGAAACCGGACGAGGTCTGTGGGTAGGAGGTTTTCAGGAGTGAGCTCCATGTCGTCAGCTGTTGGCGGCCACTGTAGGTCTTTGGACTCTCTGAAAGCTTGCAGAATATTCTGGCGGAGTAGGTAGAGAGCAACGTTTTTGTACTTGTCTGTGGTTCCGAGAGTGTAAGCTCGTGCAACGGCATTCGATACCGTGATTTTCAAGCTGTACACCAGCCAGAAAGAAATGGCATCAGCATTGTCGTGGTCAACTCTCGTAAACTGGATATGCTCCTAGATTGGATCTTTCTGTAGCCGTTTCAGGAGTTTCTCTGAGCGATAATTTGTGTTCTCGTACCCATTCAATTTCAGCTCTTCCACATACAGCAAGCGCAAGGAAGATAGCTGTAGGACCTCAATTTGCTGGACTACATGAGTTCCAATGTGTTCCAGTACTGAAACAAATGCCTTTTCATGGGAGGCTGACATGAAAGCTTGGTTGGTATCCTTAGCTCCTGCTTTAAGAATACTGCTGCGCTCGTAGTTGGCTAATGCTGTGCGGAAATATTTAAAGCACGACTGATGGTGTTTCGCCTCACAAGCAAAGAGGTCTTTGCCCTTCACTTGTCTTTGAAGTCAAACTAGACCAGTGTTTCTCAAACTTTTTCATACCAAGGACCACTTAACCAACAAAAAAACACTCGCGGACCACCTAACTCCACAAATATCCAAAATCACATCGTTTTTTTAGAACAGATTACAAATCGCCTGAAAATGGTACAAACAAGTGGCAAGATGTTTGATGAAGGTGTGGCGCTGGGCTATATCATGCAACGAAAGTGAAAGTTAAGCTCGTTCCATTGCAGAGATATTCCCGCGAGAGTGCGGAAAGCTTACATTTATTTATTTAAAATGTGAAATGTTACCAATATACTCACGGAACACAAGGGGGCACTCACGGACCACCAGTGGTCCGCGGACCACACTTTGAGAAGCACTGAACTAGACCCATATTCTCAGCCCGTGATTCTATTTGCTCCCATGCATTTTCTTTGTTCTTATAAGTTGGGAAGTATTCAGGTCTCTCAGTTTTACGATGACCATCTTTGATCTAAACTTTGTCGCAACTAACTAATTTTAGTTCGGGTTTTTTTTGGTGTGAACGCAACTTTTCGGAACTATATCGGAACTATTGTGGGAAAAGTACTCCGGTGTGAAAGCGCCTAAAGACACCCTGTTCTGAGAGCAGCCATCATGTTCCACAGTTTAACCTGTTAAGCCCTGGGCCTATTTCAGGCCTCAGGCTCGAAAATGACATGCCTAGAATGAATGATTATATCTTCACAACTAAAAGGGGTAGATGAATAATATTTTTTATCAAAGCAATGATACAATAAATAAATCTATCACTACACGACATATTTAAACAAATGAATGCCATTTTAGTTTTGTGTTACTTTGTTCTGAAAGCTGAACCTGCTGCTCCTCACAGAGAGAAGAGGCTGTGAATTACTTTACATTGTGGATAAGGGTGGATAGCCCCCATTGTTCTGTGTGTTAAAATGAAAGACAGCCCACACATGCAACTAGACATGAGTCGAGTTGAGTTAGCTAATTACCTTGTGTGTTTGAAGGTTGAATGTGTGTGTGTAGCCAAGTTAGCTACTTGTTTGTTTTTGGCGGGAAAAAATGTTCACTACTGCCAGAGCTGTATGCCACAGATACATGTGATCACTTTGGGAATAGTATTATTGTGATCTTTGACCATCACAACATGGGTCTAGACACATTATTTGTTCATGTATCTGCAATATTGGCTGAGATAGAGTGAGGACATCCAGACAACATTTTAACATAGCTCATCATTTTCTACATACTTTTTCCACTTAGGAAACACTGATAAGAATATTTCTGTGTCGGTGCAAAATACATCGTTCTTGGTACAAGACTAAAATGCTATTTTCTTGTAATGGCGGCACTAATTAGCATAATAGCATGCCACAGACACATGTGATCACTTTAAGAATAGTTTTATTGTGTTCCTTGACCCTCAAAACATGGATCTGGATACCTTATTTGTTCAGTTATCTGCAATAATGGCTGAGATATAGTGAAAGGTGTAAAAAGAGTGAAACTCGATTTTTAGGGTAAATAAACACTAATTTGGGAAAAAAATATACGTGGGACAATTTTTCAACTTTTTAACATAGCTAATCTAATCTAAGCTAATCGTTTTCTACACAATTTTTCCAATCTAGAAAAGCTGATTAAAAGTACATTTCAGGGGGGTGCATGATACCCCCTTCTACCCACTAGACTATATGTATTCTTATCAAAACCGTCTCTCCTGATTGAACGCTCCAAACCAGAGCTGAATCAGAAACGCAAAACATTTAACTGTTAACTGAAAGAAAGCCAATGTATGTAATGTTATTAATGTTATGTGCTGCCATGTGACATGACTGGGGGGTGTTCTGTGTTCACTGCATTTATATTCAAGATACTTTCCTCAATAAGCAACCAATTGAACGCTAATATGACCCTGAACTTAACTTAACTTTTGGGGGGGGGTTTGGATAGCTCATTATCAGCTAAAAGAAAATAAGAGAATGTTGAAATCAAGAAAACTAATTGTGTCTTATTTTTTTCGAAGTGTTTTCAATGTTTTCATGTTTCTCCATGGTGCGAGGAAAACCCTTGCTTTGCGTAAAAGCCTATCATCTCCTCGATAAAGAACACACCGGGTGAGTTTACACAAAGCTCTCTCTGCTGAGAGAAGAGTAAATGAAATCTAACCTCGAATCTCTCGTCCTCGCAGCGGTGCAGCTGCTCCTCGTAGGGAGTCTTCTTCGAGCTGACGAAGGTGGAGTCCTCCGACCAAGAGGGGAATGACACCCAGGTGTCGTTCAACACCTTCACACACACACAGAAATGTAAAATCATCAATGGGAAAACGTACCTTTTACAGTAAAAATATTTCACAATGACATGCTATACTAACACCTAGAAATATCACAGTGACGTTCATTCTGTAAATGTATATTAAATATTCAATAGATATAGATTTTACTGTCAATATGTATTTCTTATTCTAATGTGGATATGGTTATATTGACTGTTTAACCCTCCGGTATCATTCGATTGGACTACGCAAATTAGTCATTCGAGACAAAAATGTCCACTGCAAAAGACTTCGATAAAAACATTATATTAAAAGGTTTTTTTCACAACTTTTTTGGGTTCAATCTTTAAAGCAACTTCCGCCCTAATAGAAAATACCAAAAATGTAATCATTTTCAGGATTTTAACCCTTTAAATGCCATTTTGGCCTGGACTGGCTCTTTTTTTTTTTATCACAGTCTTGGATATGTCAAAGATTAGCAACAAAATTGATTTTTTTGCATTATTAGTTTTTGCACAAAATCAGATTGAACAAAAAAGTTACAAATTAGTCATTCGGGACAAAAATGTCCACTTCCAAAAGTTGCTAATCTTTGACATATCCAAGACTGTGAAAAAAAAGAAAAAGAGCCAGTCCCCAGATATGTATTTTTTGGAAAATAACTAATTTTCTCTGTTTTCATCATGAAAAAAAACAGCGGTTTCATGTTTTCAAAATGGCATTTAAAGGGTTAAAATCCTGAAAATGATTACATTTTTGGTATTTTCTATTAGGGCGGAAGTTGCTTTAAAGATTGAACCCAAAAATGTTGTGAAAAAAACCTTTTAATATAATGTTTTTATCAAAGCATTTTGCAGTGGACATTTTTGTCTCGAATGACTAATTTGCGTAGTCGATTTGTTACACAGTGAATTAAAGACCGATTTCAAAAATTGAAATTGGAATTCCAAAATAGATCGAGAAAATAGCCTTGTTACAAAAATTCAGGCCGTTTGCACCAACACAACCAAAGTTATTGCAAAATGAAAAGTGAAAAATGACCCATATGGACAAAAACGTCCACAGTGATACCGGAAGGTTAAATTGTGTTTGTTTAAATGTGAAATGCCTCGTTTACATGTTAGTGATGAAATAATTACCCTAATTGGGAACAAAAAGTAGATCTGATCTGATGAGGCCAGAAAAGGCAGGTAAGAAGACAACGAGCTATAGCTGCTCAATAAATTAATATGATATCGATATGAGACGAGTTGTTGTGTTAGAAGTTGCTAGGGCTGCCCAATTAATCATAATTGAATCAGAATCACGGCAAGAGGCACAATTAAAAAAAACATTCGACACCAAAACAAGATGCTTGTAAAAGTAAAGTGGTGTGATTCTGTCATTCGTATTTAAGTCATTAAATCCACATTACTGATGAATAATTATCAGAAAACTCCTTGTGTAAATATTTAAATCAAAGCTCAAACAAAACTCTGCAAATGTTTTAGGACTCATACTGTTTGTCTTGGAGAGAAGACTTGTTTATTTTACTAGAAATCTCGTATCGTAGCCGAATCACAGCTGAAAATAAAACATATTGAAGGAGAAAGCTCCCCCGATCCCGTCCTCACTGTTGAGTAAAGAGTCAAAGTAAAACCCCTTTCTACTCCTTTAAGGTCAATAAGGTGCAGCTACTATACATGCCCCCCCCCAGGATACATGACTATTATATTGTTACTCATATCATTTTAATTATACATTTGTCATTTATTACTCTCTCTTTGTCTAATCCCTCAAACGCACACAGCTTTTTTTGTCTTTTTTGTCTCCATGTATATTTTTTAGGGCTGTCCGTCGATTAAAATAGTTAATCGTGATTAATCACAAATTAATCGCACATTTTTTTATCTGTTCTAAATGTTCCTTAGAGGGATGTTTTTAATACTCTTATCAACATATGAGTGGACAAATATGCTTTATGCAAATGTTTGTTTATTATCATTTGAACAATGACAAATATTCTCCTGAATATTAAACTTAACAACCTCTGAACATTACAAATATCCGCCTCAATTCAACCTGGAACCTCTCTCATACAATACAATAATAAAATACAAAGTGTGTGTGTGTGTGTGTGTGTGTGTGTGTGTGTGCATGTGCGTGTGCGTGTGTGTGTGCGTGTGCGTGTGCTCAATCCCCCCCCCCCGGTCGGCATTCGCGACACAGAGGGCTTCATCACATAACCTTACGTGGGGCCAGAAGTTGGAGTAACAAACACTGACTCCGGTTATGTGCACCCCTGCCTATATCACTAAATAAAAATAAATAATTTGCTTTTCTCTGAGTGGCTCCTCCTTTTGGAGGAGGTGCTGCCATACTGACAAATAAAGTAAAGCGCAGTAGTTGTACCTCCTTGCAGAGGGCGGTGCGTCCGCTGCATTTGGGCTGCTGGTAGGTCTTGGGCAGCGCTCGGTAGCTGGAGCCCAGGCGCTTACAGGAGGCGTAATCCACCTCGCGGCCCCCCCCCCCCTCCATGTAGCGATCCGACAGCCCGGACACCGCATGAGAGAGCTCTTTGTCCCCCAGAAACGACTTGAACTGTGTGTACAGCTCGGGAAACTTCCTGCAAGGAGAAGGAGGAAATATAAATCAAGAATGGCAGATAAATAAAGAACAGCTGATCAGAAAGCGAGAGGGAAGAATCCTCACAAAGAGCTCAACCACGGTATGTTTAGTTTAGCAGAGGTTTATAACCGACAGCATCATTCATCACTCTCAGGATCAGTTTGTGAAAGTGTACAGAAACATAGTTTAAAGATACAAAGACTTTGACCAACGCTGAGAAAAGACTGATAATTATTGTCTGTTTTCTTTATCAACCTCCTATTTATGATTCATTTCAATCTATATTCTGCTGTTTTGGATGATTGTTGAGTAAAAAGCTAACAATAAGCTCAGGCTTCAGACTACTCCGGTCTGACAATATTGATGATTTTATTTTAAAAGTGTTCATGTATCTTAAAACAACTCTTTAAGTCACATGTGTCAAACTCAAGGCCCGGGGGCCAAATCAGGCCCTTGGTGGATTTAATTTCGGCCCGCAGGATAATTTCTAATTCCTATTAGATCTGGCCCTCCGGTATATTGCACGCACACCTTCACTCCATCCTGAGGGTCTCCTCCGCTCAGAGCCTGAGCCCAAACATTGATGACCTTGCACCCAAGATGAGATGCCAAGTATCTGAGCTAGCATCACAGAGCAGCACACTGAGTTCAATGGATGCTTCCTTCTGCACTTTCTCTCTCAGGACAACAGGGCATGTTTGGTTTTCTCTTTGAGGGGAATAGTTTTGTTGAAGCTGTTGTTGGCCTGTGGGGAAATGTACTCATAAGAAATGACTCTAAGCTGCAGATAGAGCCATAAGAAATGAATGCAGCTGATTATTTAATGTTGTTTTTATAGGCAATCATTAAAGCTTTGTTAGTTCCAGGTTTAATATGTGCAATAAGTTCATTTCAATACGTTCTGCAATAAACATTGAACCAGTCCGGCCCTCCACTAGCACCCATTTATTTATTTTGGCCCACTGTGTGTTTGAGTTTGACCTCCCTGATATAAATGGTCAAAACATTATTACAAGTGGTATCTGGCAGTAATACTATAATGTCTCTTCTACAACTTTATGTCAGCTCCCCGCAGCTACTGCATCCATCTTTCTCATTTTATTTAAACCTTTTTCACATCATATATTCAGCAGTGTTAAATTCGTCAACGAAAACTATGACGAAAAATGATCGTTAACGACCTTTTTTACGCGACTAAGGTGTGACGATGACGAGCTAAAAATAGATTGTTGATAATAAAAACTATGACGAAATATATATTTTGTTTTCGTTGACGAGATGGGACTAAGGTCCTAAGGACTAAGGACTAAGGACTAAGGACTAAGGCTGGACTATCGGACATTAAAAATGCAGCATATTTTCCCCCAATTGTCCGTCTTGTCTGTCAAAATGCATCCCTGTCATTGGTTGAATTAGTTGGGATTCTGGGAATCTGCACACGTCACTCATATTACACAAGTAAAGTCTTAAAGGTAGGGTAGGTAATTTTGGAGAAACCAGCTCGAGTGCGCTAGAATTTGAAAATACGCAGCCGGAAAGAATCTGCCACTTCCTTCAGACTTCCTCACAGAGCCCCTCCTCCAACACACACGAACGCGCACATGACCAATGAGGGCACGAGATGAGTTTGTGCCCCGATGGAAGGCTGACAGGCAGGTAGGCCATCCAGTTACTTTAGCCGGCTCAGATGATTGGTCGAGCTTTTTACAGCGCCACGGCTTCCAGAGATGAGATGTTTGTATATATTTATTGTCAAAGCACTTCATGTATTCATTGCTATCGGGATGTTAAGAGCATTCCATGCATTATAACAAAAAGTGGTTAAATATGTAAATTGTAATCCCTGTACATTTTGCTGTATGATGCCCTTTTGTTGTTCTGTTGTTCATGTTTTTATGTCTTCTTGTGGAACCTACTGCTGCTCCCTTGAAAAAGAGATCATTGATCTCAATGGGATTTCACCTGGATAAATAAAGGTTTTGAATTGAATTGAAACAAGTGTTTCTGAAGGGAATTATCTACCCCACCTTTAAGTGAAATGTTGCTTTGTGAATTTCAACACTTGATGCTGTCACTTTGATTCCAATTTCAGATACCTGTGTTTGTACTGAATGGGTTTAAAGAGAGAAAACATTTTGACTAAAACTGGACTAAAACGTTTTGAGTTATCGTCGACTAAAACTAGACTAAAACGTTTTGAGTTGTCGTCGACTAAAACGTTTTGAGTTGTCCTCGACTAAAACTGGACTAAAACTGGACTAAAACGTTTTGAGTTGTCCTCGACTAAAACATTTTGACTTGTCCTCGACTAAAACTAGACTAAAACTAGACTAAAACGTTTTGAGTTGTCCTCGACTAAAACGTTTTGAGTTGTCGTCGACTAAAACTGGACTAAAACATTTTGACTTGTCCTCGACTAAAACTGGACTAAAACTAGACTAAAACGTTTTGAGTTGTCCTCGACTAAAACTGGACTAAAACGTTTTCAGTTGTCGTCGACTAAAACTAGACTAAAACGTTTTGACTTGTCCTCGACTAAAACTGGACTAAAACTAGACTAAAACGTTTTGAGTTGTCGTCGACTAAAACTAGACTAAAACGTTTTGAGTTGTCCTCGACTAAAACGTTTTTGAGTTGTCGTCGACTAAAACTGGACTAAAACATTTTGACTTGTCCTCGACTAAAACTAGACTAAAACTAGACTAAAACGTTTTGAGTTGTCCTCGACTAAAACGTTTTGAGTTGTCGTCGACTAAAACTGGACTAAAACATTTTGACTTGTCCTCGACTAAAACTAGACTAAAACTAGACTAAAACATTTTGACTTGTCCTCGACTAAAACTAGACTAAAACTAGACTAAAACGTTTTGAGTTGTCCTCGACTAAAACGTTTTGAGTTGTCGTCGACTAAAACTGGACTAAAACATTTTGACTTGTCCTCGACTAAAACTGGACTAAAACTAGACTAAAACGTTTTGAGTTGTCCTCGACTAAAACTGGACTAAAACGTTTCAGTTGTCGTCGACTAAAACTAGACTAAAACGTTTTGACTTGTCCTCGACTAAAACTGGACTAAAACTAGACTAAAACGTTTTGAGTTGTCGTCGACTAAAACTGGACTAAAACGTTTTGAGTTGTCCTCGACTAAAACTGGACTAAAACATTTTGACTTGTCCTCGACTAAAACTGGACTAAAACGTTTTGAGTTGTCGTCGACTAAAACTGGACTAAAACGTTTTGAGTTGTCCTCGACTAAAACTAGACTAAAACGTTTTGAGTTGTCGTCGACTAAAACTAGACTAAAACGTTTTGAGTTGTCCTCGACTAAAACTAGACTAAAACGTTTTGAGTTGTCCTCGACTAAAACTGGACTAAAACATTTTGACTTGTCCTCGACTAAAACTAGACTAAAACGTTTTGAGTTGTCGTCGACTAAAACTGGACTAAAACTAGACTAAAACGTTTTGAGTTGTCGTCGACTAAAACTAGACTAAAACGTTTTGACTTTTCCTCGACTAAAAGTGGACTAAAACGTTTTGAGTTGTCCTCGACTAAAACGTTTTGAGTTGTCCTCGACTAAAACATTTTGACTTGTCCTCGACTAAAACTAGACTAAAACTAGACTAAAACGTTTTGAGTTGTCCTCGACTAAAACGTTTTGAGTTGTCGTCGACTAAAACTGGACTAAAACATTTTGACTTGTCCTCGACTAAAACTGGACTAAAACTAGACTAAAACGTTTTGAGTTGTCCTCGACTAAAACTGGACTAAAACGTTTTCAGTTGTCGTCGACTAAAACTAGACTAAAACGTTTTGACTTGTCCTCGACTAAAACTGGACTAAAACTAGACTAAAACGTTTTGAGTTGTCGTCGACTAAAACTAGACTAAAACGTTTTGAGTTGTCCTCGACTAAAACGTTTTGAGTTGTCGTCGACTAAAACTGGACTAAAACATTTTGACTTGTCCTCGACTAAAACTAGACTAAAACTAGACTAAAACGTTTTGAGTTGTCCTCGACTAAAACGTTTTGAGTTGTCGTCGACTAAAACTGGACTAAAACATTTTGACTTGTCCTCGACTAAAACTAGACTAAAACTAGACTAAAACATTTTGACTTGTCCTCGACTAAAACTAGACTAAAACTAGACTAAAACGTTTTGAGTTGTCCTCGACTAAAACGTTTTGAGTTGTCGTCGACTAAAACTGGACTAAAACATTTTGACTTGTCCTCGACTAAAACTGGACTAAAACTAGACTAAAACGTTTTGAGTTGTCCTCGACTAAAACTGGACTAAAACGTTTTCAGTTGTCGTCGACTAAAACTAGACTAAAACGTTTTGACTTGTCCTCGACTAAAACTGGACTAAAACTAGACTAAACGTTTGAGTTGTCGTCGACTAAAACTGGACTAAAACGTTTTGAGTTGTCCTCGACTAAAACTGGACTAAAACATTTTGACTTGTCCTCGACTAAAACTGGACTAAAACGTTTTGAGTTGTCGTCGACTAAAACTGGACTAAAACGTTTTGAGTTGTCCTCGACTAAAACTAGACTAAAACGTTTTGAGTTGTCGTCGACTAAAACTAGACTAAAACGTTTTGAGTTGTCCTCGACTAAAACTAGACTAAAACGTTTTGAGTTGTCCTCGACTAAAACTGGACTAAAACATTTTGACTTGTCCTCGACTAAAACTAGACTAAAACGTTTTGAGTTGTCGTCGACTAAAACTGGACTAAAACTAGACTAAAACGTTTTGAGTTGTCGTCGACTAAAACTAGACTAAAACGTTTTGACTTTTCCTCGACTAAAAGTGGACTAAAACGTTTTGAGTTGTCCTCGACTAAAACGTTTTGAGTTGTCCTCGACTAAAACGTTTTGAGTTGTCGTCGACTAAAACTGGACTAAAACGTTTTGAGTTGTCCTCGACTAAAACTGGACTAAAACATTTTGACTTGTCCTCGACTAAAACTAGACTAAAACTAGACTAAAACGTTTTGAGTTGTCCTCGACTAAAACTAGACTAAAACGTTTTGAGTTGTCCTCGACTAAAACTTTTTGAGTTGTCGTCGACTAAAACTGGACTAAAACGTTTTGAGTTGTCCTCGACTAAAACTGGACTAAAACATTTTGACTTGTCCTCGACTAAAACTAGACTAAAACCAGACTAAAACGTTTTGAGTTGTCCTCGACTAAAACTAGACTAAAACGTTTTGAGTTGTCCTCGACTAAAACGTTTTGAGTTGTCGTCGACTAAAACTGGACTAAAACGTTTTGAGTTGTCCTCGACTAAAACTGGACTAAAACATTTTGACTTGTCCTCGACTAAAACTAGACTAAAACTAGACTAAAACTAGACTAAAACGTTTTGAGTTGTCCTCGACTAAAACTGGACTAAAACGTTTTGAGTTGTCGTCGACTAAAACTATGAAGGATAAAAAGGACTAAAACTAATAACCATTTTCGTTTAAAGACTAAATCTAAAATAGCTGCCAAAATGAGCACTGATATTCAGCTCCATCATCCGTCCATGCACTCACCCCAGGAAAGGCGTGACCAGCTGCAGCAGCTCCGCTCCCGAAACTACTTCCTGGTTGAACAAGGCGATGCAGCGCAGGAAGTTCTCATAGACTTCCTGGCTTTTAAACAGGCGGCGGACCTGAAGGATAAGAAGATGGAGAGGAACGTCAGATTAGAGTTATTTAAAAAAAAGACTGAAACTGTGGATCAACAAACCAGAAGAAAGTGGAGTCTCACCTTATCAAAGAAGGAGAATTCTCTTAAGACGCCATGTTTGCCGACAGAAGCGAAAGACTGATCTTTGGTACAGGAATACTTCATTTTCTTCTAAATAAGACAAAGGAACACGTGGTTAAAGATCTTTATATGAACATTAGTTATTGAAGTCATTGTATGAGTAGCTTTTGTCTTGTTGCTTATTCCCCTTCTGTAGCCCTGCCCCTTTTCTCACTTCCGGTTCAAACTAAAATGTGTTCGGTTCTTCCTGTTAAGCACGAACAGTTTTGTAAACAATTAATTTCATTTGGGATCATTCCCAGCGATGTTAGCTATCCAGCCAACAAGCCGGCTGGCAAACAATGGCTATCTCTGACACTAGCTATGAGCTCTTCTCAACAAGCTAGCTAGTTAATTATCTACTTTACAAGCTCACATCTGACATCTATCCAACTCAGGGATGGGCAACTTGGATGGTGGGGGGGGCCCCACACACACACACACACACACACACACACACACACACACACACACACACACACACACACACACACACACACACACACACACACACACACACACACACACACACACACACACACACACACACACACACACACACACACACACACACACACACACACACACACACACACACACACACACACACACACACACACACACACACAACACACACACACACACACACACACACACACACACACACACACACACACACCACACACACACACACACACACACACACACACACACACACACACACACACACACACACACACACACACACAACACACACACACACACACACACACACACACACACACACACACACACACACACACACACACACACACACACACACACACACACACAATGTAATTATTAACAAATTAAGTCTGACACCTTCATTGACATGTTACAATCTTTCAGGGAACATCCTCTAATAAGCTCACTAAACAAGTGGCATGTTTGTGTTGAACAGGTTATTGGGAGGCGTGTGGCGCAGTGGGTTGTGTGTTGGTGTTCAAACAGGTTCAAACCCCACTGCAGTCATCATGTCGTTGTGTCCCTGAGACTCTTCACCCCAAAGTGCTCCTGTGGGGATTGCCCACAGTATTGAGTATGTTAGTCGCTTTGGATAAAAGCGTCTAACAAGTGACATGTCATGTTATTTAACAGTGGAATAAAACTATTTTAAACTATTGGAAACCACGGAAAATGTGAGTGCATTAAGATTAACCATTAAGATGACATAAACATGAAGTCATGAACACTAACCCAGACATTAGTTGTCTTGAACCTAAGACACTTATAAGGGGAATATCAACACAGACACCTGCCAACCCGCACTCTGCTGTTCCTCAGCGCCGCTCCCCCTCCCTCCCGCTGAAATTATGAATGAAAAGCGTATAGTAGCCCCCGGGCCATCATTTACCCATCCCTGATCCAACTAGTTATAGCTACGTATGCCCTAAAGTTAGACCTACAGTGCGGACATGTGTCTACACGTTTGGCAGAGAGAGTTATTATAAAAACGTTGACGTGTTGTTTTTTGAGCCGCCTTGCTGCTCTCATACAGTCAGAAGCTCCTCACATCACCCCCGTAAATTCCCAAATATGCATTATCTGGATAAACTAATCACATGTGATGAGCTAAATGTTTAGTCTCTCGCTTTAAAAGTGTTTTAACAAGCTGGCTGGCAAACAATGGCTATCTATGACACTAGCTATGAGCTCTTCTCACATCTGCCATCTATCCAACTAGTTATAGCTACGTATGCCCTAAAGTTAGACCTACAGTGCGGACATGTGTCTACCTGTTGGGCAGTGAGAGCAGTTATGAAAACGTTGTTGACATATTGGGCTCATTTGAGCTGCTCTCACAGTCAGAAGCTCTTCACATCACCCCCGTAAATTCCCAAATAAGCATTATCTGGATAAACTAATCGCATATGATGAGCTAAATGTTTAGTTTCTCGCTTTAAAAGTGTTTTTACAGTTCGTTTAGAAGCTCAAGAGCTGTTTATTTGGTTGATAAAGCTGGAACGCTATGCAATAATAGCAATAACAAATAATGAGGCAATGTGAGAGCACCGTAGAGCAGGCGAAGCATAAGGTGTATACGAGTGTTTTCAAGGACGTGCATACACACATCGCTGCTCTCCCCGAGGCGTTTATTCTAAATGGAGTTTACCTTGAGCAGGGGGGACATGTGCTGCAGAAGGATCGGCCTGGGTCTCTTTTTATTCTGCTTGGATATCAAATCATCGTCCTCCGGCCTTTTTAGCTGCTCTTTGCCTCCCGTCAGTGAGCTTCCTGTGAACTGACGGAGATGAAGCAAACGGGAACAGTGTCAGTGAAAGATGCACATTCAGCTATTATCAGAGTGCAAGTTGACATGTTAGCGTAGCTTGTTTTGTGCAACCACAACTCTTATACACTGTTAAAATAATGCAGTAAATATTAGCATTTAGGGAGAAAACTCAATGAATTCTAGGGATTTTTGATACAGATATATAATATTTATGATAATAAAGTTGCACATTTCATACAGCTGAAAGTGCTTAAACGAAATGGCACACAACTCAGGAAAAACAAGATCAAGTCAAATGTTAAAACCACTTTAACACACATGCAGCATTTGTACTTGATATATGTAAGGCAGGGCTATTCAATTAGTTTGGAATGGGGCCGGTTGATGAAAATGATCCAAAGCAAGGGGCCAGGAAAAAGATGGCTTGAAATATGAGCAATCATATTAAGAGCTTCAGATACAGTAAATACTACAACAGCATAGTGGAGTGCATATATTGTGTTTAATGCAATCAAACAACATAGCCCCAAGGCCTTTATAGATCTAAATGGCTCAGAACTCAGTATGCCGACATGTGAAGCTGATTTAACCATCAACATCATATCATTTAGGTGAAATGATCTAACCGTTCACGCAGAGATGCAATAAAGGACAGTTTGTCACTACAGTAGCTAGTAGGTGGGTTCGAAACCCGAGCCCGCAGAAGTTTTCAGGCAATGTCTTCCCCTCTGTCTCTCAATGTAACACCCTCTCTGGAATAAAGGCACAAAAGTAGACTTTTAACATTATACTCAAAGGGCCAGTCAATATCACCCCGGGGCCGGATTTGTCCCGCGGGCCGCCAATTGAATAGCCCTGATGTAAGGGCTAATGTGCAGCGACGCGGTCATTATGGGGAAAAGAACACCGACGGGCCGATCAGGAGCCCGACGTGAAGCGGAGAGATCGGCATGAAGGTGTTCTTATCCCGCTTATCACACGGCCACATTCTCAACAAAGTAACGACATGACTCCCAATATTAATTAAAATGCTTTTGTGGATTTAGAAAATGATTTTATTGATTTAAAAAATAGTTGTATTGATTTAAATTGACATGCATCCGCTAAGAAAAATAGTCCGTTGTTACCGTTTGAACAACGTAGCAACGGCAGGAACGGCTTCCATAGTGTTTTTGAGGAGCTTTTTGATTACAGATTTGAAAACATCGCTGCTTGCTTTAAAAGTAGCACAATTCATGAAGTCAAACCTTGGAAAGTATCTAGATATCCCTGCCCTAATGCCAAAGGAACTGCACACTGAATATGTGTCGCCGTTTGATGTCTATGTCTGGACAGCTGCGTAAAAAGGAGGGTTTCTGCCCCGTTACTTCTCCACTGTTTTCTTGTCGCTCTTGTCTTGTCAGTTCGAAAGCCAAACTGTAAACAGTTCAATCGAACGGACTTCTTTCTGCAGATGTGAGCGTCCTTAACAACGGTCAATAAATCCCTGACAGCGGTCTGTCTGTTCTGGATTAACAACGTGTCACGTGTTCTGAATTGACCAATCAGAATCGAGTATTCAACTAAGCCACGTAATAACAGATGTTAAAGAATATAAGGAGGTAAAACAGGCAGGAGAATAAAAAAATACTGGTTATAAGAATCCAAAAGTAAGAGTAAGTCAGTAAAAGTAAGACAGGCATAAGACTAAATTAATAGATACAGTCTAATGTTAAAAACTTCATTCAACAATACAAAAGAAATAGGTATAACAATAAAGATTAAAAGACCAATTAAAAAAGAGCATGTCGTTAACTAACAACCAATCTAAAACAGCAAATATTAGCATTCATGGAGCAAGAATTCAATCCGTTTTTGTGTTAAAATACTGAAATAAATCATCAAAATACTACAATTTGTATTCTGTTGACCCACTAACTCAAGGGGGTCAAACTCAATTTCCTCTCGGGCCACATCAGCATCATGGTTGCACTCAAGGGCCAGTTTTATATACAAGACTATATAAAAATACATATATAAATATTTAATATATATAAAATAATGTATTATATGACATTATTGCCTCTGCATTGGATTATTATCGGATAGGGTAACTTCACAAGTCTCTTCAGTGAGAATGTCACAAAATGATTTAAAAAGAAAACCCAAATTCTGGGAAAAAAGTCAAAATCAAAACAAAAAGTGACATTTTGAGAAAAAAAGTGACATTTTGAAGGAAAAGTCAGATTCTGAGAAAAAGGAATATTTTGAAGAAAAAAAGTCATATTTGAGATGCATTGTGGGACATGTAGTTTATGGGCAACGTGCTTCTGTAAAGCGGCATGTACCCATATAATAAACATATTATATTCTTTGCAAGCTCTTATGGGGCCGCATGAAATGAAGTCGCGGGCCGGATTTGGCCCCCGGGCCTTGAGTTTGAGACCCCTGCACTAAGTACTTACAGTTTTACACTCCTACTTAACACACTTCAATATATATAACATAATAGCATTTCTAAGCAGTTGCGAGAAAATAAAAAATGTAATTAGCACTTGATGCAAAACACAGCTAAGCAGAAGTTATTAAAATGGTTTTCTGAGCCTGATTGTGCAACAACCTTTATTTGTATTTGTACATTGCACATCAGCTGCTGCTCCACTCACCAATGATCTTTTGGCGTCAGGTAAGAATTGGCCAAACTCAGCCAGCAGGTCTTCTTGCCCTTTGAAAAGACTGGCAACTTTAGAAAAAACTTCATCTTCTGTCATGCCGCTGCTGCCCCGGCTGCCCCGGCTCTCCTTCACCTCCAGCTGCTCCTTCTGGGGGGTGGTGCAGGTAAAAAAATGCTGATGAGAGGTGAGGGATCAAACTTAATCAAAGTCAAATACAAACAGGGTACAGAGGATATATACACTGTTCTCATGGGAACACACTGCTAAGAGAAAACTGAAAAACTATGGCATCAAGTCACATGCTTTACGCTTAATATGATATTTATGTTTGCAAAGGTTATCACTAGTTTAACAGCTGAAACAACTGATAATAACATCTAAGAACAGTCTGATCAATAAGGTAGAGTAATGTACACAAAATAACTATAAATAACTAAAAATACCAACATTAACTTTTATACATCATAATAGAATGGTGCAGGAATGAGATCACATTTTATCACTTCCTGTCGCCTTGTCTCATGTGTTCTGAATGTGCTTTTGGTTGTTAGTCTGAAATAAGGTCTGTGGTTAACTCAAGCTGAAGAGATTTTAACGTTTTGATCTAGTCCATAAAATACGGCAGTAAATACCCCACTGGTGAATAGGAACTACAGCACGGTCACATGACTTCACGTCTCCACCGCTAAGCTAAAGGAGGCTAATGTTGAGCTATAAAGGAACTACAGCACGGTCACATGACTTCACGTCACCACCGCTAAGCTAAAGGAGGCTAATGTTGAGCTATAAAGGAACTACAGCACGGTCACATGACTTCACGTCACCACCGCTAAGCTAGAGGCGGCTAATGTTGAGCTATAAAGGAACTACAGCACGGTCACATGACTTCACGTCACCACCGCTAAGCTAAAGGAGGCTAATGTTGAGCTATAAAGGAACTACAGCACGGTCACATGACTTCACGTCACTACCGCTAAGCTAAAGGAGGCTAATGTTGAGCTATAAAGGAACTACAGCACGGTCACATGACTTCACGTCACCACCGCTAAGCTAAAGGAGGCTAATGTTGGGCTATAAAGGAACTACAGCACGGTCACATGACTTCACGTCACTACCGCTAAGCTAAAGGAGGCTAATGTTGAGCTATAAAGGAACTACAGCACGGTCACATGACTTCACGTCACCACCGCTAAGCTAAAGGCGGCTAATGTTGGGCTATAAAGGAACTACAGCACGGTCACATGACTTAACGTCACCACCGCTAAGCTAGAGGCGGCTAATGTTGGGCTATAAAGGAACTACAGCACGGTCACATGACTTCACGTCACTACCGCTAAGCTAAAGGAGGCTAATGTTGAGCTATAAAGGAACTACAGCACGGTCACATGACTTCACGTCACCACCGCTAAGCTAAAGGAGGCTAATGTTGGGAATGATGACGTTTAGACTTTTAAGCAACCGCCATTTTTAAAAAAGGCACATAAAAGCTTCAGACATCTAACTATAAACGCGTTCGAAAAACTATTGACTTTGAGATAAGGAAACCGGTAAAAAGTGGTAAAACACTTAGTAATTTCCAGGTTTTATGACTCATTCCTGCACCACTCCAGCACCTTAAATCACAAAGTGTAATCTCAAGTTACCTGATATGTGTGAAGGATCTCCAGGAAGGCTCTGTAGATCTCAGGGTGATCCAGGAAGCGGTTTTTAATCTTGTTTACGTAGCTGATGGCACTGTCGAACTCCACGGGGCTGGTCTCTGAGGCGGGGGGAGAGGAGGTGGTGGGCTGGTTCTCTCTGCTGGTGAGGGGGAGGGAGAGCCGGCTGGGGGGGTCTGAGGGTCCTGTGGGGGTGGTGGCGGTGGTAGTGGTGGTGGTGTTGGAGGAGGAGGACTGGGACTCTGATGGAGTCACTTTGATTTCAGAGGTCAAAGCGGGTCCAGATTCAACGCCGGCGGCAGAGGCACTACCTGAGGGGGCCGCCACGGAAAAAAGGGGGGCGCTCTTCCCCTGATGGCCGGGGGACACCTGCACGGAAAGAGCGAGAAGAAGGACGTTAAGAAGTGAGTGTCGGAGCCAAAATGCTACTTAGCCTGAGTTTATTATTTGTATTATTATTATTTGTTTACATCACTTTTATTTGTATTTGTTGAGCACTTCCGGCAATCGTCACATGGTCATGGTTTGTGTATTTAAGATAAGATAAGATAAGATGGACCTTTTATTAATCGCCGTGGGGAAATTCGGGAATTTAAACAGCAAGATTAATACAATTAAGGATAAAAATCAAAAATGATTAAATGAATTAAAATGAACATATATACATATTTGGTCATGTGTACATATTATTTGCGTGTGTGTGAATACAGTGTATTTTATGTCCAGTAATAGTGTCACTTTAGTTCACCTGTTACCTGTCGGGGGGCGGGTGACAGAGGGTGAGCTTGTCAGGAATTTTTTTCTGTTGACCGCTTTGTTCCTTCTAAGTTATTGTGTGTTGGATTTTGTTTATTACAAATGTGATCAACCCATGGGCATCGCAGCCATATGAGGGTGGGACAAGTCCCCCCCGCCTTTTAAAATGATTAGTTTAGACCCCCCCCACTTTTATCATGCGGAAAGTCCGTGAATCGATCCATCCACTCGCCTCTCTCTGTAGAGCGCTGTGTCAGTGCTTCATTATCAAATCCATTCCACTTGCTTATTGAGAGAATGCCCAAATCAATGAAACTCCGTCCCATGTTTTCACTGCTACTTTGTACCGAGGCAGATTCTCAGAGCCGTACACATGCTGCGTCTTTTGTGTAGCTGTGTCTTTAGTTGTAAAATTATGCGCCCCCGCTGCGAGGCCCCAGCGCTAACAGTACACAGCGTGCTCCATTAGCACCCGGATATAAGGCGCTGTTATTAAAGAGGTGGAGGGAGAGCTCTCTCCTGTCAGACTGAGAGGCTGATAACTACAGCTCAGTGAGGTGAAGGACTCTCTGAGGGTTTAGATAGTTCACTTTAGTCTAAGTAGTGGGTCTTAAACGGTTTGCGAATCATTTATGTAAATAAGTATTTCCAAGCCACACTTTTATATGATCATTATAGTTATAAAAAATAAGAGAAAAACAGGTATGAAATAATTCCAACTCATACTATAGGACAGTAACACAAGAATACAGTTTAAAAGGGGAGTGATTTGTAAAATATGCATAAAGAAAAAGTAAATCTGTGTACATCACATTTATTAGACGCTTTTATCCAAAGCGACTAACAAAGCGTGGACAATCCCCACAGGAGCAATTTGGGGTGAAGTGTCTCAGGGACACAACGACATGCTGACTGCAGTGGGACTCGAACTTGCTACCCTCTGATTCGAAGTCCAGCACACTATCCACTGAGCCACAGCCTGTTACAGTTCTGTTTCACATGGGAGCATGCCCCCGGCCCCCCCTAGAGGAGGTGAGGTGATCCTGCATTTGTCATGATTTTGTTTTTGTCAACTTTACAGTTTATTTGGCATACCCCACTACAAATAACGAGGTCCCAATCTTCAGACGATCCTTGCTTTGTGGAGTTATAATTGTATGTTGAAACCGTTTCTGAATAGGTGTTGTTTCAACCTGAGCGTATTCGTGTGTAATTTAGCAGTCGCTCAGTCAGTAGGGGCTTGGACTGTGAGCCGTAGGGTCGCCGGTTCAAGTCCCCGACCAGACCTAAATATGGAGTGTGGACTGCTACTTGGAGAGGTCCCAGTTCACCTCCTGCCCTGCCGTGGTGCCCTTGAGCAAGGCACCGGACACCCCCCTTCCCCCCTCACTCCCATTGCTCCCCGGGCGCTGTACAATAGCTGCCCACTGCTCCTAGAACTAGACTCCTGGTGCTAGGATGGGTTAAAAGCAGAGGACGCATGTCACTGTGTGCTCTGCATGTGAGACCATTAGAGGGGTTCATCCCTCCAGTTCTAATCTATTCTTTTAAAACCATGTTATCAATTTAAAAACAGAGCTTGCCATAGAAATCCAAAGCAGAAGAAGTAGCAGCTGCACCTTAAGAATGTACCTTTCTACACACCATGAGTTAATAAGAATAATGCTCCAGCTGAAGGTTTCACAGCTTCAAGATAAATACAGCAGTAGTGTTGAGAGTTCATCAATTCAAGTGTCTCACCTTGTGTTGTCTCGTTAGTCTGTACAACACTCTCTTACATTTTGGCTACATGGTCTGTTTTGGTTATAAATGTGGTTTAAATATTGTATGCCTTCAAGTGAAGATCAACTATGTACGACTTGTCAATTGATGTACAATAGTAGAGACTAAGCTGGACACTAGTAGCTTTGAACTGTTGGACATTTGTAACTGTGGTTCCTATCAATGTACCAAACTTCAATACAAATATTTAAAGGTCCCCTGTTATACTGTTTCTCATCAATACATCACAGGTCTCAGATATATCCAGAACCTGTCTCTGATTGGCTGAAACACCAAACAGATCATTGCAGCATTACCCATAATCCCCTCTGTTTCAGCCCTGTTTCCAAAGTGCTGATTCTCTGTCTGTTACTTTAGATGAAAATAAGGAGCCCCTCCCCACGCCCCTCTGAGAGACATTTGGTTACAAAGCACTCAATGGTGCTCTAGGAGGAGATTCAGGTGATAAGGGGGGGGGGGGGGGGTTACCTTGGTTGGTGATTGGCTAATGGTTACACAAGACAAAACATCGTTATGACATCATGAAGTGGCCAAAATCTGATCAGCTCATTTTCAGACAGGTTTTTATAGAAATGGATCAAAAAGAGAGAAAATCTTTGTTCCTGAAACTTTCAGAGTCTCTTTCCACAGAGGGGACACATGTTTATGTAGAAGAGACATGAAGAAGAGGGGACACATGTTGATGTAGAAGAGACATGAAGAGAGGGGGACACATGTTGGTATAGAAGAGACATGAAGAAGAGGGACACATGTGTAGAAGAGACATTGAGAAGAGGGGACACAGTAGAAGGACATGAGAAGAGGGGACACATGTTGATGTAGAAGAGACATGAAGAAGAGGGGACACATGTTGATGTAGAAGAGACATGAAGAAGAGGGGACACATGTTGATGTAGAAGAGACATGAAGAAGAGGGGACACATGTGTGATGTAGAAGAGACATGAAGACAGAGGGGACACATGTTGATGTAGAAGAGACATGAAGAAGAGGGGACACATGTTGATGTAGAAGAGACATGAAGAAGAGGGGACACATGTTGATGTAGAAGAGACATGAAGAAGAGGGGACACATGTTGATGTAGAAGAGACATGAAGAAGAGGGGACACATGTTGATGTAGAAGAGACATGAAGAAGAGGGGACACATGTTGATGTAGAAGAGACATGAAGAGAGGGGACACATGTTGATGTAGAGAGACATGAAGAAGAGGGGACACATGTTGATGTAGCAGAGACATGAAGAAGAGGGGACACATGTTGATGTAGAAGAGACATGAAGAAGAGGGGACACATGTTGATGTAGAAGAGACATGAAGAAGAGGGGACACATGTTGATGTAGAAGAGACATGGAGAAGAGGGGACACATGTTGATGTAGCAGAGACATGGAGAAGAGGGGACACATGTTGATGTAGAAGAGACATGAAGAAGAGGGGACACATGTTGATGTAGAAGAGACATGGAGAAGAGGATGTAGTGCCTCACCTGTGCAGAGAAGGGCGACTGGAGGAAAGCCACTCCATTCTTGGGGACTTCTATCCGATACCCCGGGGGCAGGAAGGCGTTGAAGCCCAGCACGAGGTCCGGGTGTCCGTGGAAGAGCTGCGACACTCGGTTTATCACCCCCGGTGTGTCGATGCTGCTCCAGACATGACGCAGAAAGAGACATATTAGGATGTGGATGATGGAGGCAAAACAACTATAAAAAAAGCTATGCTTATGCTGTTGTTTTTGTAAAATACTGGGTGTGTTGGTAGATCTGCATCTTCTGTGTTTATATGAGTGTAGTGGAGAGATACTACTGCATTTGCCTCCAAAATGTATTGGAGTAGAAGTATAGAAATACTCAAGCTATGTACAAGTATGTGAGTAAATGTACTTTCCGCCACCGTAATACTGCCATTAAATATTTGCAATACTATGTGTTTCATGTAAAGAGACAATGCTTTCTGTCTCCATTGTCAGCTGAAGTGCTTTATCAACAAATGCACAAGCTGTCGAAGTATACATAAATAAAAAGGTATGCTTCTCAGTCATGAAGACAACAAATACAACATGTGACCTGCTCTATCAAATCAGTCGCATTGACCCGAAGACACATTGTGAGTTGTATGGAAAGAGGAGAGTCCTAGCTTTCTAATGATATCAGGATTGTTGTTGTTCTCCAAATATTAAGCGAAATATGTCACATTATATAACGACTGTCACGAGTCGTCACTTTGAGAAAAAGGCCTTCAAAGTTTCCTCTCTCTGGAATCCATCGATCTGATTGGTTGTTAGCAAATGATCAAAATACTACGGAAGGAAGATATTTTCGTTTGGATTACTGGTCTGGGGGAAGCTCATGAGTGTGTGTGTGTGTGTGTGTGTGTGTGTGTGTGTGTGTGTGTGTGTGTGTGTGTGTGTGTGTGTGTGTGTGTGTGTGTGTGTATTGCGTTTGTTTCCCGGGGAAAACACTCCGGCTGTTGTTATGCCTGCTGTGACGTCAAGTTACTCCGTTCTCTGCCTGTAATTATGCCGAAGCTTCAAAGTTGTATTTATCTTCTGAATTTGCCGAAACAAGTTTAATATTCTGAAAGCCAAGACTTTGTTTATTTGAAACCAGATGAAAACAAACTGTCACGGACCCTGCCGTGTTATCTATGATTACTATACTCTTACATTCATAATGTCAGCCGGAGGGAGGGGGGGCGGCGCTGCGCCATCTTCCCTTTAGAAGCTTAAAGAATGTGTTTATCGTGAGTTTGGAAATAAAAGTTTCATATTCTGAAAGCCAAGACTTTGTTTAAAATCAAACGAAACACCCGAACCCCGAAGAAATAGTTTTTTACGCAAATCCACGTTTATTTTTAAATGAGCCGCTGAGACTTCCGACTGATTTCGATAGAGCGGGTCACATGTGTGTATTATAGTACTTATAATCAGAGTAGTAATACATGTTATTTATCAGGCGCTTTAACAAGTGCTCAAAGAAGCTGTACAAAGATTATTTAAAAAATGCTCTTGTGGTGTTCATGTAAAACACTTTGAATTTCGTTGTTGCTGAGGCGTAGAACAGAGCAAAGTCTTGACTAATAGACAAATAGATTTGTTAGTGAAAAACCACACCATGTTCATACACACACACACACACACACACACACACACACACACACACACACACACACACACACACACACACACACACACACACACACACACACACACACACACACACACACACACACACACACACACACACACACACCACACACACACACACACACACACACACACACACACACACACACACACACACACACACACACACACACACACACACACACACACACGTACAACATGTAGAATTCTTGACACTAAAGCTGACTTTGACTTTATTGTGAATGCAGGACGTTTACTTGTAACAGAGTATTTCTACACTGTGGTATTATTACTTTTACTTGAAGATCTAAGAGTACTTCTTCCCTCACTGCTTGTACTTGATCAGAATCTGAATACTTTATTCATCCTGGGGTTAAATGAGGAGATTAAACCCATTCTCACTGGTTTGAATTCTCTATTCTCTTGGCTTACTAATGAGTATTATCTGTATATTAAAGTGCTTTTATGAGGTGTTTCTTTTGCACCTGACTTGATGCCTTTGAGGTGTTATCTAAAACACTTTGCATGTCTTTGTTAATGAGAAAGTAAAACATTCCTTGACTAATAGAAAAAGAGTGTTGTATGGGAGTTAAAAAAGAAACCAATAATAATTGAATTAATAATTTGTGAATGCAGGACGTTTACTTGCTACAGAGTATTTCTACACTGTGGTATTATTACTTTTAAGATCTGAGTACTTCTTCCCCCACTGCTTGTACTTGATCAGAATACTTGATTTATTCTGGGAGAAAATGAGGAGATTAAACCCATTCTCACTTGTTTGAATTGTCAATTCTCTTGGCTTACTAATGAGTATTAACTGTATATTAAAGTGCTTTTATGAGGTGTTTCTTTTGCACCTGACTTGATGCCTTTGAGGTGTTATCTAAAACACCTTGAATTTCTTTGTTACTGTGATGTATAAAGTAAAACGTGCCTTGACTAATAGGAAAAGAGTGCTGTAGAAGGAGGAGATTAACCCCATTTTAACCCATTCTCACTTGTTTTTGTTGTCTATTCTCCTGGCTTACTAATGAGTATTAACTGTATATTAATGTCCTTTTATGAGGTGTTTCTTTTGCACCTTGTCTCTATGCTTTTGAGGTTTTACGTCAAACACTTGCCTTGACTAATAGAAACATAGTTTTGTTGAGGAGTATCACAACAACATTTCAAGATAAAAGAAACAGTTGAATAGTTCAAATGGCCACTTTGGATAATGAGGTATTTTAGATTCAGTGCTTAAGTTAATGTTGCTGCTAATACTTGTGTATTTGTACTTAAAGGTAGGGTAGGTGAGAATGGAGAAACCAGCTCGAGTGCGCTAGTATTTGAAAGTAAGCAGCCGGAAAGAATCTGCCCCTTCCTTCAGACTTCCTCACAGAGCCCCTCCTCCAACACACACGAACGCGCACATGACCAATGAGGGCACGAGATCAGTTTGTGCACATATATAGGGTATAGTGACGTAACGGCTTCACAGATTGGTTCAAATGACGGCCACTGGGCTCACAGGGAGGGGGGGGGGGGGGCAGGAGCTCCAACAGGCCGTTTAGGACAGAGAGTGAATACACAGACTTTACAGAGATGCTGTGAGAAACCAATGTGAGTTTGGAACATTGCATAATATACATTTATTCTAGTAGACCTCAACAATGGAATTATGATCAGTGGAAATGGCCATGACATGGGACCTTTAAGATACTGCACCTACAATTGTACTTAAGTATCTCAGTCCTTTATTTAAAAACTCTATTTATCCTGGAAGAAAGTTAGGAAATGAAAACTGTCCGTAAGCTGATTCCCCTTTGAGTATTCTCTCGTGTTAGTAATGACTTTTAATAGTATATTAATGTGTAACTTTTGCACCTTGCTTTTCAGGTTTTAAGTAAACACTTTAAATTCCTTTGTCGCCGAGATTTTCTTTATAAAACAAAACTTGCTATGACTTAGAGAAAACGAGTATAGGAGTTACTCGTAATAACTTCTGTAATCTCACAATTACATTTCAGGATGAAGTAAACGGCTGAATAGTTCGCCTGATTCTTAGTGATCAATGTGTTCCCTCAGTAGTCGGTATTCAGTATCCAAAGACACTGTATTCGGGTGGACAATGTATTGCTAAAACTACTTTAATTAGTAACTTCTTATATAAATACCTCTGTGACTTGAACTCTTTCATGATGTCGAGAAACTTGTTGTATATGCCAGGATCATTTGCAAAGCGGATCTTGACTTGGTCCAGATATGACAAGGCATCTTCAACCTGAACACAGAGGAGCAACGAGGAAGAGATACAATCAGTAAAGCAGCACAAAGAACAATCAGTTCCACTTGTCATATTTGGAGAAAGCTTTACAACAACTGTTTGTGTATGTTAATGAATTAGGATTTCACAGGGATGTCAATACAGCTCTTTTTAACCAACGTTATCAGTTTTCCCTCACTGATCATCCATCACAGAATCCGCTCTAACATGTTGAAAAGGACAATGGCTTGTTTTCATTGTGTCTCTTTAAGTAGTGACATTGGAAGAAGTACTCAGATTGTCTACTTCAGTAAAAGTAGTAATACTATTAAAGTCCTGTTATGAAAATGTTATTTAATTAGAAGTGCATTAGTATCATGGACAAAATATACTTCAGAGTAAAAGTACTCTTTTAAATGTATTATATCATTATAGAATATTATACCATCGTGACAAATACATGTAGAGGCATTTAAATGCTGTTGTTCTTTAATGCAGAGCCAATATAGTATGTAAAATACTGGGTGTGTTAGTAGGTCAGTACGGCATCTTATCATATATAATGTGTTTATATGAGTGTAGTGGAGAGATACTACTGCTTTTGCCTCCAAAATGTATTGGAGTAGAAGTATAGAAATATTCAAGTTATGTACAAGTATGTGAGTACAGTATTTTCCACCACTGTAATACTGCCATTAAATATTTGCAATACTATATGTGGACATGTGTTTCATAAAAAGTTATATGAAGAGACAATGTTTCTGTCTCCATTGCCAGCTGAAGTGCTTCATCAACAAATGCACAAGCTGTCGAAGTATACATAAATAAATCATTAAAGAATATTAAACTATACTGTTCTCATAACTAACATATACATGTATGTAAAATGTTGTAGTTGTACACATTTATTATGTAAAATACTGGGTGTATTAGTAATACGGTACTGCAATGTATCTCATATGGTGTGTTTTATATGTGATAAGTAACTATAAGTGTTAAATAAAGAGTTTGTGTAGCATAACAATGGAAATACTTAAGTAAAGTAAGTATGTGAGTACAGTACTTGAGTAAATGTACTTAGTTACATTCAGTCACTGTAATACTGCCATTATATATTAGCAATCCTGAATACTATATGTGGACCAGCCATTAAAAACACGGGTTCATATGCAGTTACATAAATAGACAATGCTTTCTGTCTCCATTGTCATCTGAAGTGCTTTATCAACAAATGCACTAGTTAGCTGTACAAGCTGTCCAAGTGTAAATAAATAAATAAATAAATAAAAGAAACCCTAGGCTGCTTTTGTTTACTGGACCTGTCGTTTTTTTCACTACATCTGAAGCTATGTGGACATAATGGTCGTTGTGACTAACATGTAGAAGAGAGGGGTTGTTTATTCAGGCTAACGTTAGCCAACAGCCAGTCGATAATAACCTACATACTGACTCATTAAATACGTTTCGTCTCAGCGGGACTGTAAAACAAAAACAACAGGATAATATCCTACTATCGCGATAACAAAGAGATGTGTAATGAAGCAGCTAATCAGCTGAATTGTAGCCGTTGTTAGCCTGGCTGACGTCCTCCACTTTGTTCAGGGTGGTGAAAAAAAAAAAAAGGAGGAACTTCCCACAACCGGGGTCTGAGTTAGCAGGCACAGTAAATAGAGAAACTAGCACTAACTGTACACATTCGTTAATGAATTAAATAAAACACACAGACATCTTAACCTCTACAATGTTCTGCAGCATTACTTTTAACAGGCCAGCAGCCAGCCGTTGGTCTCACTACTCTCGACACACAGGAACAAAATGGTAGTGACTCTGAGGGACTACTTTCCCCCCCTTGTCTTACCTTCAGCTTCTGGAAGTGCTGCTGCTGCTGCTGCTGCTGCACTTGCTTTTGTGTGATAACGTAAGGCTTCTCTTGGATTTGGTTTATTTGCTTGGCGGTGCTGTGCGCCTGAATCTTCGCCATTATCCCGGCGACAGGAGGGAGGCTTTTTTGAGAGAGCCACAACTTGAGAGCTTTTTTTTTCTTCCTTCGGTGTTATTAACCCTCCTCCTGGTTGTTGGCTAGCCGACAAACCGTCCTCTCGGTCGGGAAGCCAGCCTGCCCAAAAAGCGAAGAGCAGTAAACCCTTTCCTTTGCCTTTAGCTGGAGCAGTAAACCCTTTGCCTTTAGCTGGAGCAGTAAACCCTTTCCTTTGCCTTTAGCTGGAGCTGTGGACTGTACAGTCGGAGGAGAAGAGAAATGACGGAAGAGGTGACAGACTTTGAGTCAACATCACCATCACCATCGAGTTAAACAAGCCAAGGCTAAAAAAAAATTCAGCTAAGGGACAATGGTTGCCGTTTATCGTATTTTAAATAACTATCGCCTGTCTCTTTAAATTCGGCGGCAGCGGTCTGTCTTGGCGTCCGGAAGCCAGAGTAGGAGTGAAAAAAAGAGGGGTGCAAACTGAACTGCGCATGCGCAACAGTGGGAGGAGTTTCCACATGATTCAGAAAGACACACTCCCCCTTCACTGCTACAAAGGGACCATGTTACTCCGTGATAAAGCATATACACATACAATACAACATTTGGCCTTCAGTTAGTTGTTTGTTTATACAACGACACATTTAGAATACTCCGGTAAAGCACAAGTAGGACACAAATAGTACTTAAGTACAGTACTTGAGTACACCGCTGGTGCGAAATTATGATCCTAACATGTCGTCCACAAATGTCGCTTCCTCCAAATGTCTCCAGTGTTTATCGGTGTTCTCAATGACATGGAACTATACGAAGACTCAATTAAATGCACGGAATTATAACTCGTTACTAAGACAAGAGAATACACAATAAAACAAGGGTTAAAAGCTCAAGGATAGGTAGGTATCATTTCCTAACTTTCTTCCACGATAATTAAATAAGCCTAACAGTTCTGCCAATTTCAACACACCTACATTCCTGATTGATCACTTGTATTTTGTTCATAATACCCTCAGATTGAATTCATTGATTGAACAGTGACGTGATGCCTTTTTCTGATGTCTGTGAAACAATTGTTCAATAAAGTTGAGAAAAAACCCACTTTCATGCTAAATGTTAGCTACATACTTCCACAGGTGTAAATAGGTTTACTAAGTACTGCACTTAAGTACAATTTTGAGGGACTTGAGTATTTCCATGTTATGCTACTTTGTACTTCTACTCCTCTACAGTTCAGTGAAGCTTTTACTCCACTACATGTATTTAATACTTTAGTTACTTCACAGATGTGGAGGAATGATGTGAAATATAATCAAGTGTTGAATCAGACTTTAGTTCCACCTGGAGTAAATCCACCAGCTACCCTGCAGAATACAAAGTCATTCAAACTAGCTGCACCTTCACCAGCTTTGAGAACACTTTCATGATCAATCATTATAAAACATATCATATATATTATTCTGAAATGGACCAATCTGCACAACGACTACTTTTACTATCGCTACTTTCACTATATTTTGATGAGAATACTTTTCTACTTTCACTTGAGGAACATTTTGAATGCAGGACTTTTACTGTAACAGAGTATTCCTACACTCTGGTACTTCTACTTTTACTCAAGTACAAGATCTGAGTACTTCTACTTTTACTCAAGTACAAGATCTGAGTACTTCTACTTTTACTCAAGTACAAGATCTGAGTACTTCTACTTTTACTCAAGTACAAGATCCGAGTACTTCTACTTTCACTCAAGTACAATATCTGAGTACTTCTACTTTTACTCAAGTACACGATCTGAGTACTTCTACTTTCACTCAAGTACAAGATCTGAGTACTTCTACTTTTACTCAAGTACAAGATCTGAGTACTTCTACTTTTACTCAAATACAAGATCTGAGTACTTCTCTCACCTCTGCATTTTTCTACACGGTTCCACCACAAGTGGAAGATATTCAGAACTGTGTGAGAAACTGAAACCGTGCTAATAATGGATTTCTGCAGATCATCAGCATGAGAGCAAAATACAGAACAGATTCAGCTTTCAACAACTTTATTGTTTCTTTAAATGCATTTCAAGGAAGACAGGAGCACATAACTGGATTCAAAATGATTTATTAGTGACTTATTTTACATGGTAAAACATCAACAGCAGCCATGTGCATGATAACCACAGAACAAAGAAGTGTGCATGGTCATTATGATACAGAAAGGTGCAGTTAGAAATCTCATTTATACTTTAAAACTATGAGGGTTCTCCCCTAAGAGGCTTTGGCAGCAAGTCTCCACCTCTGAAGCCACTGCTGGAAAGTCATCCCTCCTTTCTGGACCTCAGGGAGGACATGCTGGGCTGGCTGATCCCACCTACATTTGTAAAAACACAAAACAGATACATGCTACCAGACTTCTGACTGAAGGTGTTCCCAAAGATTTTGAAGGGACTGTTGTTTTGTATATATTGATTGTTGTGCTTTTATTCATGTCTTGATGTGCCAGGGTCTATGCAGGAATCCTGAAGTCACATGTAAGACCTTTTTAAAGACCCTTTCCATACATTTGAAGACCTCATCTCCACTTCGAGTTCTAACCGGTTACCTTGGCGACACACTTTACCTCACATTGACTATATACAGTATTGATTGTCCTTCCTCCTTATCTTCCAACCATTTGGACGCAGACTTGCATTTCCCCATAACGATGTTGTTTAACAACCGGCGTAAACGGAGCTTCGCGCTATCAAGCAGTGAGCGTGCGATGTCCTGTTCAGATGACGTCAAACCCAACGGGATGCCATCAATAAACTACACAGAATCACACTACACACCTACGCAATGATTACATTCAGGCAGACTGTAGAATACAACCTCTCTGGATACTTTATATACTTATTGAAAACAAGCTACAAAATGTAAAACCTTGGGAAATACCGTTTAATACTTTTTAATAGCCTTAACATTTTATTTATCAACTTTTTAAGACCCCGCGGACACCCTGTTATACATATTTTTATATATATTTGTATTTCTGTATTTGGGATTGTGGGAAACGGTATTTCGATCTCTCTGTCTGTACACACAAACTGAAAGATTGACAATAAAGTTGACTGAGGTGTTCATTCAAAATCATCAGACAGACATGCAAGTAAAGGTAACGTTTTTAAAGTTTAAAATGAATAAACAATGAAGTTAAACAGCCAGGCACTTACCTTCAAACACTGTGTTTAGCCTGAACGCTAACTTCCATTTTTATGTAAATTCATAAAAATGAGCCTTACCAGTAGGAGATGGCAGTTTTCACTTGGACCCCGTAAGAAAGGCCCTGGGCGCTTCGCTGCGTGAGGCCTCTGACTCTCGGTACCAGACACTCCAGAAGCTTCTGATCCTCCTCCATCACTCTGGACAGCAGAGCTAAGAAGCACAGGGTAGAGACACAGTAGTTTGAGATGTTTTGAAATCATTCTGTAAACTTTTGCGGTGCCCCCACAAATAGAATCAAATTCTGTGGGAAACACTGACGCTTATTGCTACTGGTAGATATATTAATTGTTGGATTAGATGGAACTACAACAGCTTAATGTTAACTAAGTAGCATGCATACAAACATATTAGAGATAACAAAATTACACAATTTACAAAATACACATCCTGTAACAGTTCTGAGGATTTAGCAGCCAGGTATATATTACACAGTTATTAACTAGGGATGCACGATAATTATCGGCCCGATAATTATCGGCCCGATATTAGGAATTATGACGTCATCCCGATAAACCCGATACCAGTATTAATAGCCCCGATAATATACAATATATTTTTTGGGTAAAAAAAAAGAAATAAATACTGCGGTGGATTGGGATGAGGGGCGCTTGTTTTTCACTCGGCTCCACCCGTTTTGCCAGTACTGTGGTATTAGTGGTTTAGGAAGAGGGGAGTTCTTCACAAATCCAGCGCTCCCTAACTCATGCCTGGCTGTGACGTAAATAGTGTGCGGCCGTGAAGCCAGGACAGTAAACAAACATGTCGTCGGTGGTATGGGTGTTGGAGCTATGTGCAACTCAAGGCATATGCTCGAACGGGAGCTGCCTGGACGCTGCAATCATGTTGCGCACTATCCGTGCTGAGTGTGCTGACTGTTCGTACAATGTCCCGCTGTCTGGCTTCCTGCATAAAGTCAAGTGCTCGGCGCAGTTGTGGCGAAATGTCGCTCCTCTGTTTTCATTTAAACAGCTCCGTATATCTGTTAGCGCAGCTAGCTAGCACCAGATGCTAACAACAACAATGCACGTAAGGTCTCTCGCTCGCTCCGGGCCACACATACACACACCCTCCCGGTCCTCCAACATGGCCAGTCGGTGCCTGCCGGTGAGCGTGGAAGTGTGGTCTGCAGCAAGCGGGCGACAGGAGCGGGGCTGTCAGCATCAGCTTGTAGATGGTATTTTAAACTCGATGCGCTCTGAAACTACGGGGCGGCCGAGGAAAACAATACACATGCGTTAATCGCGTTAAAATAATTAGTGGCGTAAAAAAAATGTTGTTATCGGTCTTGAGAAGCAGGAAGGTATCGGTATCGGTTTCAAAAAACAAATATCGTGTATCCCTATTATTAACGATATATATATATATATATATATATATATATATATATTCATATATATATTACCCCATTTAACAACAAAGGGTGATATAGTCTGTGTTAATATGAACTAATATGTGCACAAACAGAGAGATACAGCCCTTCCTGGCGTGTATTTTAATCATGATAAAACTTCTCCTGGTTACCTTTTTGATCCGGTGCATGCAGCAGCTCCACTTCCTTCTGTATGTCCTGCAGAGTAGCAGAGTGCAGCTTCAGTAACTGACGGAGAAAACGCAACTCCAGCTGCTGGGAGCGAGCCTGGGAACACAGCTCTTCTGGAGCCTGAAGTTTAAGAAGGAGACGATTCAGTCAGAGAAAGAAGCCGAACAAACAGCCTATAAAGGTCAACTCGCTACTCAGAACCACTCATGTAGCGTTTAAGGGTGGGTGTTCGAGAAGCTGATACCAACACTTTTATTGGAATGTAATAAATGTTAATCTCAATCCTCAGTGGTCAGTTTTATGGTCTTTTCTCCACAGTTATGTAGAATGTATTAAATGCTTGCCCTTAGCTGCGTAAGTGGGTCTTTGTTGACCCGGTGAGGTGGTGTTCTTGAAGTATCTTTGTAATTACATTTTGTTATCATTTCATATTCCAGCTATTCCTCAAAAAACATGTTTTGGATATCAGGCCATTCAAAGTTTTGATTTGCATTTTAAGAAATTGTAGTTTTTGTATTTCTACCCCAAGCTTCCATAAGTGGGTCAAAAATGACCCGCATGCATTTCTTATGGGAACCTTTGATTCTTATTACCTGTTGCTGTCAGGAATACATTCACTGTGGAACACACAGACGACATCACAAGTGACACCTCTCAGGAACATTATTTTA